GAAGGAAAAGGCTAGGATGCTGTGTCTATTCCTTTGCTGCGGCTGTTGTTACAAGTTATCACAAACTGGGTGGTTTAAAGCAGCAGAAATGTAAGCCAGGCATGGTTGATGCCCACCTGGTTGATCTCCCACACTTGGGAGACTGAGGCAGGAGGATCACCATGAGTTCAAGGCCAGCCTGGGCCATATAGTGAGTTCAAGGCCAGAGTGAACTACACAGTGAGACCCTGTCTCAAACACCCTCACAAAAAAAAAAAAAAAAAAAAAAAAAAGCAACAGAAATATGTTATTCTCTTGAAGTTCTGGAGGCTAGAAGTTCAAAAATCCAAGTGTCAGTGGGGGGCTATATTCCCTCCAAAGGTTCTAAGGGAGGACCTTTCCTTACCTCTTCCTGCCTCAGCTTCACTGCTCCAAGTCCTGCCTCTATAGTCACACAACCACATAACCTTCTCCTCGTGTCTTTTCTCCTCTAAGGACACATGTCATCAGATAATCTAGGATGATCTCACCCCAAGATGCTTGTTTTAATTAAAGCTACTCAGAGTTTTTCTTGGAGTAAGGTGACATTTTCAGGTTTCCTCATGTGAACATAGCTTTTAGGGAGCTACCATCCAGCCCACTATTCTGTAAGAGATCATAATGGGGTAACTTACCCTAGATAAGGGGAAGGGTGGCCTAAAAGAGCCTCTGAGGATGTGAGCTTTACACCACAACTGGAAGGACGAAAAGACATATACCACGCACAATAAGGAAAAACTGAGGGAAACAGCACTGCAGCCATGGTCAGTCTGTGCAAAGGTCCTGAGACCAGGTGAAATTGACAGTGCTTCAATAACTCAAAGAATGACAGCATGGCCAAAGCAAAGTAAGTAACATTGGCCTTAGATGTTCTGGGGTCTGGTGGGTAGAGAACTGTCCTGAAGTTGTTGAAAATCACAGCTAAGAGCTAGGGTTTTATTTTAAGTGCAAGGGAAAACTGATAAAGTATTTTAAGCATAATCACTTGATTAAATTTACATTTCATCTTGAAGATTTTTCAGAGAACATAGTTGGCCTTAGCTGAAACTGAGTTATTTTTATTTAGTTTTAGCAATAGCAAATGCATAGTATTTTATCATTTATACTGATATATACATTAATTCATTAAATAAGTAGTACATGTAGTTACTCAAATACAAGCCAAGACACTATGTAATTCAGTATCTATCTGTGTCATAGGTTGAATTGTGTCTCCCTCAAAAATTTATATGTTGAGGTCCTAACCCTTAGTACTTCAGGTGTGATCTTATTTAAAACAGGATCTTTGCAGATGTCATTAATTAAGACGAGGTCATATCAGAATAGGGTAGGCCTCTAATCCAGCATGACATCCTTTGTGCCCCCACAAAGGAAGAAAATTTGCACATAAACATGTTTATATGGGAAAATGCTTGAGAAAATCAGTTCATAAATCAGAAAGTTTTATCTTGGCTTAGTTTTGGAGGTTTTAGTCTCTGACTGCTTGGCCTATCGTCTTGGACCTATGGCAGCACAGAGCCTTACTGCGGGAGTGTATGGTAAAGAAAGTCCATTCCCCTCGTGGCTGAGTGCAAAAGAGACAGAGAAAGCAGCTGAGACCGAGGTCCCTCGATCCCCTTAAGGAGCACACCCTCAGTGACTACAACCTCCCTCAAGGCCTCACCTCTTAAAGTTTCACCACCTCCCAAAAGCACCATGCCAAGAAACAAGCATTTAACACATAGGTCTACAAATCTGGACGACTGCACCCAGGTAGATCACTTTACAAACATAAAGGCCACCACGTACAAGCTGCAAAGAGAGGCCTAGAAAAGATCCTTGCCTCCCAGCCCTCACAAGGACACAATCCTGTCAGGCTTGCATTTTGGACTCCCAGACTCCATGACTGCAAGATAAGAAATTTCTGTTGTGGAAGCCACCTAGTCCGGGGTGCTGTCTTATGGCAGCCCACACAAATGAGCACAGTCTAGTATCACATTTTAGGAAGTAAGGTTTAGAAGCCAAAATTAATTAAAGGAATCCCAGTATTTCCCAGCTCCTCTCCCAGAATGTGACAGGGGTCTGATTTAGAAACCATACCAATACCAAATCACCCACCTTTCCCCCTTACTTCTCCTTTTCCACCTCTGCATCCTCTCTTCTCATGCACAGGGTTGACTAACTTTCCAACAAGACCTCTCCCCAGGTTTTGACTCCTTTCTCCCACATCCACTTCCTGGATCTATTGTGTTTCTCTCTGGTGCTTATTTACCTGCCAGGACTCTGTCCAAGTCCCTTTCCCCACAGTTGTTACCCCAGCAGCATACAAGGCCCAGGAAGCCCCCTAGTTTCCTGTATAACAGAGAGAAAGATGAATCCCATGAGCCCATGGACATAATTGCACCCCTTTCACCCTCCTCACCTCCTTACCCATCTATCAGGAGGCAGGGGGACAGGAACAGGAGCACAAACCCAATGTTATGTCTTGTCACTTCACACACACAAGTTTTTTAAATTTATTTATAATCTCCATGAGGGCAGAAAGTACATTTTGTCCATTTTCACATCCTCTATCTTGCAGAAAAAAAAAAAAAACACTCTGAACAAAGGTGGTACAAAATGATCACAAAAGCTTGCCCAGACCCTGAGTCCTAGTTCCAGGCTCCTGAAGTGTTCTTGCCCCATCTACAAAGTTACTGAGCTCAAAATGTCTGGTCTTAATTAAGCATTGGAGACATCTGCCATGAGTGATTGGTGACATTTTTCCATCTACTCGTTACTCCTAAAAATGGATTTGCTCTTGCTGATGCGGAACCAAGAGCCTAAGGCAAAGAGGCACATAGGTGAAAGAGGGGGAGTCACCAGGTGGACAGGAAGGGAGGAGCAGCTGCTGCAATGAGCACCCCACTCTCAAGTGCAACTGGCAGGGACAGCAAAATCCCCTCCTACCAGAAGCCTGCTCTATCAGTCAGACACACTCTAAGGAAGGGAGAGAGAGAGAGCAGAGGTGTGGGCCTCCGGGAGAAGTCAGCAAAAGGCTAAGAAATTACACGATGCATTACTGACCTCAGTTCCTGAGGGGAAGGAACTGTGCTTACTTCGATTTTACACTTCCTTCCACCTCTGCCTCCAGCTTCCAGCATTGGCTCTAGCACCCTGTGAAGCTGGTTGGTCAGATGGATGGTTGGATGGTTCGCTGCTTGGCAGGCTGGGTCCGGTTGGATGAAAGAGCAACCAAAATCTCTATTCCTCTCCTGAGTACCATTCTCTGTGTATGTGTGGGGGGTGGCGTGCTAGAGATCGAACCCAGAGCCCTGAGCTACTTGCCAGCTCTCTTTTATTTTCATTTTAAGACAGGTTCTCACTAAGTCACTAAGTTGCCCAAACTGAGCTCAAATTTGGGATCTCCTGCCCCGGCCACCTGAAATTACAGGTGTGTGCAACCATCCCCTGAGCACCATTCTTCAAAGACTAGATAATGTGCATGGCATCATAGTAGTCTCTTTTGCTTTAAGCCAACCCCAACTTTCTAGTCTAAGGAGGTTAATGGTCTCTTAGAATCCCCACATCCTCAGAGAGGCTCATGAGCTAACAGGAGAAGCACATTTGAGGCACCAATTTAAGAACCTCACTTATTAAAACTAATTTCAAGCATTTGTGTGACTACCTAACCTTTATCCCCTCTAATGCTTTACAAACTTCCCTCCTCAAATCCAAACATGTTAAGCACCTACTGTGCATAAGGTGCCACAGAGCAAGTGGTCTTTGAACTTTGAAGTTCTGATTCACTATTTGGCCTTTGTATATTCTTGCTTGACATGTAAAATTTTTATCATAAATTTCAATTGTAGAAAGGGCGTAATTCCATTGTACTGTAAATATTGACATTTTATAAATACAACTGTTACATCATTTTTTCAACGTTTCCAATGAAATCTAAATAGCACAGCAATTTGATACCCACCATTAGCTATTTTTTAAAGGCATGAACAAACTCTTCCTTATGAGTCAGAAAATTTTACATTTTTCCTTCTTCCTCATTGAAATCAAATTTATTCTAATACAATTTTATGTTAGGAAGCTTTTTATCACCACAGTTCTATGTACAATTCTTAGTATCATAATTCTATGCAAAACAACATATAAAAATTGAAACTATTTTTTATTTCCTGCCACCACTAGGCTCTGAGTATTAAATTTTTTTCCTCTGGAGTAAACTATCATTGCAATTATTTATACACACTTAATCAAGAAACATAAACACAATATACATTATAAATTTTGATATCTAAATATTAAATGTACATGTACAAATCATTGAAGATATGTCTCAATTAGAACAAGGAGAGACGTGAAAGCCTCATGAACACTTATGGAAGGTTTCATTTTGCTTGGGAATTAAACTCAGGGCCCCATAGATGCCAGGCAAATGCTCTGCCCCTGAGCTACACCCACAGCCCATGGACATAAATATTTTGAATGTCACTATTTGGCATTTCAAGAGAAAAGGGTTAGGTTTTCCTTTATGAAGGTGAGAAAAAAACATCCTGAAAGAGCAGAAGGAAAAGAGAACCAGCTTTCATAGTGGGTACATTCTCAGGCAGATGTATGTTAGTAAGTAAGGCTGGTGATGTAGCTCAGTGGTAGAGCACTTGCTTAGTATGCACAAGGCCCTGGGTTGAATCTCCAGCACTTCCCAAAAAAAAAGACAAATAAATAGATTCCTTTGAAATGACCTTAGCCCAGATACCCTTTGGAAAAATTTCCCATACTCCTAGAGATACAAGTCGCACGAGCTTGAAGACCAAATCATGAATAATTCAGTAAGAGCAAAATACAATTTCAATCTTGCAGGAGTTTACATCTGATAGGAAGATGGGCTATAAGCCCTTCACTGAAATTCTTAACAGTAAAAGATCTAAAGAATTGTTCATGGGCAAAATAATGATCCCCAAAGATGTCTACATTCTTACCTTCAGATCCTGTGAACTTGTTAGGGGAGATAAGGTCGTGAATGGGGTTAAGTTTGCCCATCAGCAGAGATTCAGATTGGGAGAGTAGCCTGGGTTACATAAATGGGCATCATGGACTCACCAGTGTCCTTCAGAGGAGACAGGAAGGAAGGAGAGATCCGAGTGACTCCATGCGAGGAACTCAGCAGGCTGGCTCTGAAGATGAAGGAAGGAGGCCAAAAGCCAAGAAATGCGGGTCAATTCGGAAAGCTAGAAAAGATCCCTCTCTACCACCCCACACAACCCCACAAAAAAAAAAAAAAAAAAAAAA